TCTATCTATCTATCTATCTATCTATCTATCTATCTATCTATCTATCTATATCTCCTATACATTCATATATGTTTACATATATGCTTGTGTATGTGTATATATATGTGTATATATATATTATATATATATATATATATATATATATACGTGTGTGTGTGTGTGTGTGTGTATAATTGGATATCAATAAGTACCAGGTCTGTGATTTCTCTGGCATAAGGAACTACTTGATGAAAGAACTCCCTCGGCTATATAGGTTGTCATCTTCTCTGCTACTTACAATCTTAAATAAAAGTCTACAGCAGAGGTATCAAACACCGCCAGCAGGCCTACACTCCTTAGTAGGGCCAACCAAATTAAAAAATGTAATTAGAAATATATAACAAAGTAAATAAAACTACAATAGAACATAGATGGTGTTAATACGTGGTTTTCTAGGACAATATGCAGCCTGTCAGGGATCTTTATGTGTGGCTAAGTGACCCTATTTCCATCTGAGTTTGATGACTGAGAGGTTAAGGTAACTTGCCCAGGAAAATGTCCAGTATCATGTTAGAAGCAGAGCTTGAACCTAGGGCTTACTCCAAGGCTGCCTTTCTTTCCATTACTCCATGCTGCTTCTCAACAAATTATGATGTGATAAACTATTTTGAAATATGATGAGTAATAATAATGAAAATGACTAGAGATAGAAAGGCCAGGAATAACAGCAGCATTTATTTAGCACTTTAAGGTTTGCAAAGTGCTTTACCAATATCTCATTTGATCCTTACAAAAACCTTGGGACCAACCTTAGAGTTAGGAAGACTTGATTTTAGGTCATGGCTCTGACATATACATAACAGCTGTGTGACCTTGAACAATTCACTTAACTTTCAGTGTTCTAGGCAACTGGCTAAAATTATAAGTTGTAGAGAAAGGATCAATTGGCATTGGTTAAAAAAGTTTTTTTTTCTCTGGAAGTTCTCTAAACCAATGAAATTATAGTACTGGACAATTCCCCTTCCCCCACCAAAAAAAAAAGAAAAAGAAATAAATTATTACCTTTAAAAGCTTGTTGATTATCATTTTCCTTTTTATTTATTTGATTCACTGGAATGGAAGTGATCTGGTACTGGAAAAGAGTGGAGAAATCTAATATTTAAAGAAATCACAATGGAAAGTAAATAATTTTAATATTAATCTGTAGAAAATCTTTCAAGGGAATTGGAAGACTACCCCATATGTAAGGATGGTAGGGAGGAAAGAAGAACAAAGAGAGGGAAAAAGAGGTTTGTCCAAAAACCAGCCATGAACCATTTCACATGGACCTTCTCTTATGCTTTGCCTTTAAAGACTTTTGCTTCAGTTGGAGATTGGAGGGTGGGATGTAATTCAAAGGAATCCTTTGGAAAAGAGAATGTGAAAATTACTCAAGAACATTGACTGGGGGGGCAGCTAGGTGGCGCAGTGGGTAGAGCACCGGCCCTGGACCTGCCTCAGACACTTGACACTTACTAGCTGTGTGACCCTAGGCAAGTCACTTAGCCCTGACTGTTTCATAAAGAAAAAAATAAATAAATTACGTTGGCTGAGCTAAAAAAGAAGGAAAGTCAGAACCCTCCCTTGGGAATGGAGGGTATTAGCAATCACCCTCCCCCCCACCAGTGAATCCTCTTTATGTACTGCAGAGGATTAAGATCACATGCTAGAGTAGAGATCAAGACTTCTAATTGTATTCCTGAAGAAGTTTCATTGTCCATTTTGAATCAGCAAAGCAAAAGGAGGTACTACTTCTCTGAGCAAAAGTCTTGAAAGATCTTGTATAAATTCACTGTTCCTCCTTTGAGGGAAGAGATCCTGAAATTGGTTTGGGGAACAAAGAATCATAACTAGGGATTTAACAGCAATTAAAAGGGATCTTTTTTAATTTTTTTTAAAAAATGGTTATTTATTAACATTCTTTTTTTTAAAAAAATTTGAGTTCTAAATTCTCTCCTTCCCACCCCTCCCATACTCACTGAGAAGGCAAGCAATATACTATCAATTATTTATGTGAAATCATAAATGTTAGTCATTGTAAAAAAGCAAGAAAAATAAAGTGAAAAAATTTTAAATAAAAGATGAAAAAAATAAATTCACCGTTCCTTTCACTCTGATGAAATTGGCTCAGATCTTCCCTTTGCAAAGCTTCTCCAATCCTCTCCCGGCCTATTACACTTATTTTAAATTCTTGTTCCTTTTTCTGTACATTCACATCATCCTATAATTTCTTTGGGGGAGGGTTTCCTGGAATCTACCTAGAATGAATTTGAGCATTGCTTTAGTAGGGATACTTTAATTCAGTGGCTTGTGGTTGGGGTCTACCCTAATTGAGTCCTCTGGTTTTCATTTAGGTAGGGTAGTCCCTCTTTCACTCCTCTGACACCAGATAGTTGACCAAGAGCCCATGCTTCCTGTTAGCCTAGCCATTCATAGCAACCATTTCAAGATAAACAGTATGCATTAGCTTCATCCATAATGCAACCACTTTTATAAGACACTCTATCAGTGGAGACAGTTAGTTGAAGAGATGAGAAGTCAGTATCCTCAGCAATAAATAAAATCCCTGAACTCTGCCAAGTGCCAGGTAGAAAAACTGACCTCAGGTGAGTTATTTTATAAAGTTACTCTCAGCATGATTATGTTTTTAGGAAATTAGTTACTTCTAAACAGGAGCCCAAGGACCAGTTTGATTCAGATGAAAATCTCATCATATCATCCCTTTCTGGAAAACAAACATCAGCTAAAAAAAGGCTTAAATGTCTTCCCCTCTCTCATCTCTGCTGTCAATTGCCTGTCCTGCTATTTCCCAAGAGTTCGGCATTGGCAGAGAAGCAGAGGAGACTTCTCAGGAAATATCTGGGGAAAGTGATTAAGATGCAAATCTTGGATACTTGCCACATTTTATTTTGGCTTGACCAGAGTGGAAAATGACTTTTGAAAAGATGCAAGTAATAATAATAGTAACAACAACAACAACAACAGCATTTATTTAGCACTTTAAGGTTTACAAAGTTCTTTACAAATATCTCATTTAATCATTACAACAACCCTAGGAGGTAGGTGTCATTATTATTCTCATTTTACAGGTGAGGAAACTGAGGGAGACAAAGGTTAAGTGACTTGCCCAGGTCACTTAACTGGTAAGTGTATGAGGCTGGATTTGAACTCGGGTGTTCTGTTTTATTAATTTTTTTCACTTTAGATGTAGCAGGTTCTCTACTTCAACAGAGCTGCTCCCCAGGAGTAGGAAGCTAAGTTTCTGTGTGTAGGAAAGTTTCAAAGGTAGCTAATTTTTCTTTCACTCTTAGAGTGAAATGGGTCACAATAGGCAGTGAACTGAGCCCGACGCAAGGATTCTGTCCCCCCCCACTCTTCAATTTATAGAAAACAATGTAAACAAAGTTGGGGTAGAGGGGTTGATCAGTCAGTATGGGTTGTTTGGCTTCTCCCTGCTTTAGAGTTTCTTTGGTATAGTTTGTTTGTTTGTTTTTTCCAAAAACAAAATGGTGGCTAGTTCTCCCTTCTACCTATTTAAATGTTGTGGTACTGTCTCTGCCATAAACTTCTCTCATTTTATTTTTCTAGTCGCACTTGGTTTTGTAATAATAAACTGGATGCTTTCATAAATCCTATCTTTTCTTCCCTTGACTAGCCAAGCTGCCTTCACCATCTAGTGAAGAATTAGAGGATGTCAGCCTGTCCTCTGTGGAAGAGTCTGCCCAAGCCTTACCTATTTCTGAATCCACAGACTCCCCCCATAAACACATGGAGAGAAACCCAGCCCAGCTCCCCAGCCCCCCTCGGCTTCCAGTCCCACCACCGAAGTCAGTCTCCAATAAAACAAATAAAAATGTAACAGGTTAGTTTTTTGTTCTCTATTTTTCATCCTTTATTCATCTCCCTAAGTGGGAAGGGAATGAGAGGGAAAAGGAAAGGGATGGTGAGCTCTTACAGCTTATATGTGCTGATGCTAACCAAAGGAATCATTTCCATAATTTCTCATTTTTAAGGGAAATTTTGTGTAAGGCTGTTTGTTTTCAGTCAAAAGGCCAGAAAAAAATTGGGGGAGTGGGAGGGAGTTCTTACTATAAAAAAATTAGAACCTTGCACTTAGTAGACCCTTAAATGTTTTTGAATTGAATTGAATATAATTACTTTGATTCAATTCCATGCAACAAATAATAAGTGGCTGCAATGAGGAATTATGCTATACCTTGGCAATATAAAGACAAAAATGAAACAGAACCTGCCTTCAAAGATCTTACATTATATTGGTGGGGAATTCAATATACACCCAGATTGATGAAATACCAAAGCCAGATGTAGTATGAAATAGCCAGGGATTTGCCTGAGTGCCACCCACAGGGACTAGAGCAAGGTACATTTCCTTTCCACCCACTCCAAGAATTCTGGCTACCTGCTTCCTCTCTCCCCTCCCCACACTCCACCTACTGCTATCAGGGTCCCCTCTCAGGGCTTAGGGATAGGAAGTGGGACATCAGGGACTAGCCTTGAAACACTTCCTGACCTGAGAATATGTCATTAAGGATCTTGTACAAAAGTGCACATAACAGCTGCTGTACCCTCTGCCCACCCAGTCCCTACCCTTCTTTGCTCTCCTTTTCCATGGTGTCCTTTAGAACCTTCCTCTATTGTTTAAAAAAAAAAGTCTACCATGCTACATCTCTCACATCTCTTCCATTTTCTTGTGCTTTCTGAAGTCTAGCTTTCTCCTGAAGATATCATGTCTCTTGGCACCCTTTGCAAGACTGGATGTTCCTCTCTCATTGTTGACACACAAGGCTAGGAGGAGAACTTGGCATAGCACTTGCTTCCCACTGCTACTTTCACACCTTCCCTTTGCCACCAAACATCCCCTCAGTCTTTTAAAATTCACCCTATCCTATCCAGATTCTCGATGCTGTCTTCTATAGATCTCTAGGTCATTGTCTCTCTTTCTCTCTACTAAGCCCACGGCCTGCCTTATCATCTCCTTCTCTATCCCAAACCCTTTCTTTCCCCTTTGAAAATTCTGCCTTTCCAATTTCTCCTCCCTTTCAACTCTCTTCATTGCTGTTCTCCAGTCTGCTTCCTTCATAAATGTATCTTAAACCAGTGGTGTCAAACTCAAATAGAAATGGGGGTCCTACAGGCTGCAGATTGACTTAGTTTTTAAATATGTCATCTATATTTTATTGTATTTTTATTTATTTTGCTAAATATTTCCCAGGCTGGCCAGCATATTTGACACCTTTGTATTTGGTACCTGTCTTAGGCCACTCCAATTCCCTATATCCCTACCTGCCATTACTCAATGGAAATTGCTCCAGGTCCTAGAATCCTTAGTTATAGTTCTAGTAAACATATGATAATTTGAGGAGGTGTGGAGGCTGTCTTAGATTCCAGTGTCAGAGGCCTTTCTTTTGTTAAAACTAAAAGATTAACTCTTTAGGTCAAATTAAAGTGTGCCTGATCAAAACCATCTGCCTCTATAAACTCAGTGAAAACTGGGTCATCAATTAAAGAAAGAAGGCTGCTATAATAAAAATATTTGTATATAACCTCTTTGTACCTCTCTGGTTTTTTCATGAATTATTAGACTGATAGAGAACATAGACAGATTAGAAGGTAAATTGCTAAAACTTCATTTTTTTTCCTTTCTGAGTCTCTGGGAGTAAAGAATCTGCTCATTATTGATATAACATGTTCCTTAGTGTTACCTCTTTTTGGACAGGGATAATAATGTTCAGACTTGCGATTTCACCAGCGTGTGCAAACCTTCCAGTGATACCAATAGGCAAATCGTCCATGATTTGTGATTCTAGAGAGTGTTCTGTGTAACTAAAGACTTGCCTATGGACACTCAGCTAATATGAGGGAGAGGTAGGATTTGAACCCATGTCTTCTTGGCTTTAAGGTTCACCTTTTACTACCAAGCTACATTGTCATAAAATTTTGTTTGAAATATGCTTTTTCAGTACTTCAGTTTCCATAATTTTATCTGTGTGCATGATGCTTTCACTGATGTAAATCCTTAGTAGATTACGTGATAAGTTTCTATGGCTGAAAAAAAATTACTTACCTTCTGTTAATGAGCATCTTCAATGAACATGGCCATGAGATGGGAGATTTACCATGGCCCCTCGGGCTCAAACTCAAAATCTTTTTAGTTCATTAAAACCTTCTAGAACTTGTATTCTACTGTTAGAGCTTTTGAAAAGCCAGAATTAGCTCCATCTCCTTCTCCTATGCCACAATGAGATAACCGAGTAGGATTTTGGTATGTATGTGGGGGAGGGGGAGAAGGTATATATATATATATGTATGTATGAGGAGGAGAGTGTAGTTAGTTATCTTACTGAAGCATAATTTTTGGCTTAGTAACAGATTTTTTTTCCCCTTGCATAGGCTTGGAAAAATGAGGTTTTATTATCCAACACTTTTCTTTCCTTAATAAAAGAAAGTCAGATGAGACATACATGAAAGATACAAAGCACACTTCTGGTGGACAAAACATCTTTCTTGTCTTAAAAACCTTTCAATCAGTATGTCATTCCCCCCACCCCAACTTTGAAATTCATTCCTTTCACTGTTCTTGAAAAACAAAGGAAGGTGTGTTTGCTTCAGTATCTCAACACTAGATGGCACCAATGGGAAAAAAATCACCTTACTCAACAGATTTTCATCACTAACCTCTTTTGATATTATCAACAAAAAGCTTTATTTCTGAAAACCTTAATTGGTCACGAAGCTGTGCTAAGTGCCAGACAATGACAAACATACATTAACAACAACATTAACCAAAGACGTCTGTGCCATCCGTGTCTTTTGTAACCTTTCAATAGGAGGGTTATGACCATATTCCCATATCGTACACTGACTAAGGGGTGCTTCATAGGATCATAGGATTGAGAGTTGATCATGGGATTGCAGGTTAAGACTTCATTGTTGTTCAGTCATTTTCAGTCTGGTCTGTCTCTTCGTGACCCCATATGGAGTTTTCTTGGCAAAGATACTGGAGTGTTTGCCATTTCCTTTTCTAGCTCATTTTATAGCACTCTATCCATTGTACCACCTAGCTTCCCTTCTGTCATGTTAACCTATCTGATAGGTGTGAAGTTGTTTTAATTTACACTTCTCTAATCAGCAATGATTTAGAACATTTTTTCATGTGACTGTTAATAGCTTTGATTTTTTTCTTCTGAAAACTGTATGTTCATATCCTTTGACTATTTATCAATTGGGGAGTGTTCAAGCCAGGTTTTGAATAAGGTCTTCAGACTCCTAATACAGTGAGTGCTCCTGATACAGTGGCCACACTGAGCTTCTAACATGTGTTCAATAGCTTTTTTATACTAGAACTACTCTTTTCTATTGTATCTGGGAATGGGAGAAAGAGGAAAAGAGAAAGGGCATGTAAGGAATGCAAAATAGAATTATATATTTAGAACTGCAAGGGAACTCAGAGTTCACTTAGCTAGTCCAACCCCTTCATCCTACAGATGGAGAAACTGAGACCCAGAGTGGTCAAGTGGTTATGCCAAGGTCATTCAACTAGTGAGTAGCAGAGCCAGGATTCAGACCAGGTCTTCTGATTTCTGATCAAATACTTTCCCCACTATATAGACAAGTTCTTATGTGGACAAATTCGTTGTTTTATGCAAAATCTTCACTATTTACATATCTAAAGGTATTTTTCTAAAGTCAAAAATGCATCAAATATCCATGGTAAGGATTGCATCACAGGTGCTTCATTCTCCACATAGCTTTCAAAATGACTTTTCTAAAAAACCATGTCACTACAGTGTAATGGCAGGTTACCCTTGCAAACTTTAATGGCCCCCTGTTACATCTAAGATCCAAATATAAACTCCTCTGTTTAAAGCCCTTTACAATTTGATCCCAACCTCTGTTTCCAGCCTACTACATTATTTTCATCCACTCTACAGTCCAGGCAATCTGGTTTTCTTTTACTTGCTTATACAATGACAGTCTGTCTCCCATCTTTGTACTAGTTGTCCATGTCTGGAATGTACATATCCTCCACTCCACTCCATATCCCAGAGTCTCTATTTTCCTTCAAGATTCAGCTTGGTTGCCACTTTCTACATAAAGTCATTTTTTTATCCCTCAAATATTAATGTTAATGCATCCTCCCTCCTCCTTTCCTTGTATTTATTGTATATATACTTAAACATGTATGTGTTATTTCTTCTAATAGAGTATATATTTCTTGAGGGTGACGGGTTGGTTTTTTTTGAACCCTCCACTACTTTGTAATGCTTTGTAAATAGTAGGCACTTAATAAATAAATGCTTGTTGATTGATTTATGGTAACCTTCAAAGAAATAGACAATTCCCAAGTTGTCTAATCCAAGATGAAAAATACTACCTTTATTTTTATAACTATTTTTATTTGAAAATAATTCCAAGACACTTTTAACATTGGATAAAGTAGAAGGGAGCTGCTGCTATAGCTAATGTGGTCCCTTCATTGAGGTTTGTGGTCAGGTCTAGGTGTCCCTGTTTCTTGGGTTCTGGGTTGGTCACAGTGCCAGGTTTCCCAGCAGAGAGTGACCAGTTAAGGACTGTGAAGTTGCCAATTGCTCAGCCCATTTGGACCAAACCGTCAGTGTTTTGTTTCCCTGCTTGGGATCCTTGAAGGCAGGCTGCTTTTTCATTTTTCATTTTAGACTCATGGTTTGGTTTTATTTTTCTTTTTCTTTTCATTGAAATATGAGATCTCTTCAAGAAGTTGATTTTCTTCTCCCCCCCCTCCCTTTTTTGTCAGTGTAAGGTGACAGATTTTTCCTATTCTACCTTTCCTCTTTCAGCCTCTGGGGAGATTCATTGAGGAATTTTAATGAATTCTTTGCTCTGGGCCTTGGCAGATATCTTGGCTGGGGAAGTTACTCTCCAAAATAAATGCTCCTGGAAGGAGCACTTCTAAGCTTAAAGACTGTTTTAAGAAAGAACAGAGGGGAAGAAGAGATGAAGAAGAAAAAAAGGGTTGTTTTAGAGAAATAGAATAAATCCCAGGATGGAGAATGGTGGGAAGGAAATACAACAGGACAAGGAAAATACTTTTCTCTCTCTCTCTCTTTTTTCTGATTGCTGTTTTTATTTGGCCTAACTTAGTGATTGCATTGTTATAGGAGCTCCAGGTGAGGAAGCTCCCTCTATCAATACAGATTAGCACCTGCTCTGCATTTTATATCCTAGGCAGCTTCCTAGGGGCACTGAGAGGTTATGTGACTTGCTCAGAATCACAGAAAGCATCTATCAGATGTGATACATGAACTTATATCTTCCTGACTCTATGTCCAGTTCCCCAGGCAGTATACCATGCTTCCCCTTCTGATTGCCTTGGTTGGACAGACTATGAATTTGCTACTCCATGCTTTAGGGCTGTAAAGCAGGAAGGGTGGACGCTTATGTTTCACTCCTGAGTTTGAATGTCACCCGCTCTACACCCCCAAAACAACAGGCCTTGCATGCTGGGTATGTGTTTCTGTTTGTTTGCCTCTTTTGCAGCAGAGAGTGACCCGGATGATGTCCCAGTGAAATCCCCTCCTTCCACAATCCTGAAGAATTATGTTGTTGTTGGTTCCTCCCAAATCTCAGGACAAGCTACCCTCTTCCAAGCCTCTGGCCAGAAAGTTTCTGAACCCCATCTTAGAGGACAGCATTCCACACCCACAGGGTCCCCTCATCTTGCTGCTGTCCATAGGCCCCTGCCTCCTAGCAGAGTCATCGAGGAACTCCACCGAGCTCTGGCGACTAAACACCGTCAGGATAGGTAATGAGGTTTCAATTCACCAAGAGTTTTTTTGGGGGGTTACTTCAAAAAAGTCTTTTGCAAAAAGATTAGGGTGCTCAAGGAGTTTCCTTAATATGTTTGATGGTGGACCAATGCTCCTTATGAATTATTCCTGAGTACCAAGGGGGAAAAGTACTAAAAAGAATTCATATCCACATTAAGCTATATCTTCAAAGAAATAAAGGCTTTCTCTAGAAAAAAAAATTATAGATAAACTTTCCATACCCACAGGGTTTTTCTAATGTGATTCATTACCCATAATAGAGAAATAATAAGGGAAAAACATATGATGGTAAATATGTGTTATGGAGTAAAGATTGTTGGACTAGAATAGGGATTACAAAGCTTTGCTGATGCATAGGCGATTTTCACAGCAAACTATATAAAAATAATACAGATCGTGTCAAATAGTTGGCTGAGAGCTACACGCTTATAAGGAAGCTTAATTCAAAAATCATCTGAGGAAGACTTGAAGTATATAAATGGATGTAGTTTACTTGGATTAGGTAAAGAGCGAGTGTTTCCTAGGCAATTTGGCTCTCAGACCAAGAATTCGATCTGGCTCTCCGCTAGCTAAGAAAAAGGGGGCATCAAAGAAAGGGAAAATGCTTACAAATATCATCAAGAGCCATGGGCAGGGACTGGGTAGGGAAGGGAAAAGCAAGGACCACGTATGTACATATGCTAATGTCTAGAGAACTTAGAAGTTAAGTAACATAGATGGGCAAGTGGGGCATAGGCTGAGGAATTAGGGTCAGCAAGCACCAGTTGTGTTTAGGGAATGAATCAAATAGTATGTAATACCGCAATGGGAGCAACAAAACCAAAATAGGCTTGGGGTGCCCTGACCTACTTCTGTGGAATCAATTATACAGATAGGGACAGGAATAGTGACTTGATCTGAGATATCAATAGTGAAGAGAACTCCGAAGTGAGTAAAATCCTTTTACCAATCTTCTATCCAATGTAAAATGTTAAAGAATTGCCCAGATCTCTAGAAGAATAAGTGATTTGCCAGAGTCACACAGCCAGTATGGACTGGAGGCAGGACTTGGTCCCAGGTCTTCCAGGCTTTGAGGCTGGCTTTCAATCCACTACACCACCATGGCAAGTATTTACATCAGAAAGTGTTCTATTGTTACCTGGGCTCTTCAGGGAGGGGAGATCATCAGGGCTAACAAAGATCTTGCTTTTTGGTGCTCTAAGGACATTATGTCAGTTGAAGAAACCTAATAAAGTATCCTTTTCAGTCCTCGTTGAACTTTTTTTTTCCTGTGCCTGGATTTATTAGAATTATAATTTTATATGCTAGACTTAAAAAAATGCAAACCTGTGCTGAATTGTTTAAGGTCAATATGGAAGAGCATCAGATACATCTCAAATACACATAGATATAAGATATCTGTTTGCTGTTCATCAAATAGATGCATCAATCTTTGAACCCTAACCCTGCATTCTCCTAGCCAAATTGAGATGTGATCTAATTCCACCAAAAGACAAGAATACAAATTCTATAGGCTCCTTTCTCTACTTCCCTTCCCACATTTGTGACCAGTTTTGAGTTTGGATACTGCTACTCCACAGTTTGGTTTCTATTGTGAATTAAAAGCTTTGGGTTAGGATATAACTTGAGCTATCTTCCAACCTTAGCTTTCAAGGAAGAGAGAGCAAAGGGTCACCAAAGAAGAGAGTGGATGTGCGTCCATCCAGGACTTCCAGTATTGAACGAAGCAAAGAGAAAGAAAACGTACTGAGCTGTGATGGGGGTTCAGAGAACAAACGGAACTCAGTTAAAGAGTCTGATGAAAACAAAGAAAACATGATCATGAATTCAGAACTCAAGGATGATACACTTTTATATCAGGATGAAGAAGCTTTGAATGATTCCATTATCTCTGGTAAGAAAACAGTGCATATTTGCACTGGTTTGTCTTTCAAAGGATATCTTATGTTTTACGGGGGAGTGTAGAGAGGGGAAGGATAGGAGACAAAGAGAAGGCAGGGCCAAAAATAGGACTTCTTTCTATGAAAGCTGAGGAAGTTATGTTTAAAAACTATGAAGTCATGGAGATTGAAGATATGATGTATTCATTTACCAAATATAGGAAGAAACAATAGAACTAGGGCAGAGAAGTGGCACTTTAAAAATGGTTTTAGGAGGAATGAAAGTAGTTTTAGTACAAAAATAAAAGCAGATGATAAGCTTATGGAACTCATTATCATAAGGTAGTATATTATAGACTGTCTCGAAAAGAATTTAGATGAAATCAGAAATCCCCTCTATAACATTCCTGACAACCCCTGCTGGAAGAGAGGAAGAGCAGTGTGGTATGGTGGGTGGAAGGAAACTGGCACTGGAATGCAGGGGGACCCAGCTCTTCTATGTACTATGTGTGCCACCTTGGGCAAGGCACTAAATCTTTCTGGGCTCCAGTTTCCTTATTTACTCCATTTCCTCACTACAAAATGAGGAAACTGTGAGCCGATGGGGATTTGTCACTATCTCTCTTAAAATGTGATACTCACAACTTTATCTACTACTTCAAATACATTTTGACCAATGGAATATAGGCAGGTTGGTGTGTTCCTTGATCTAGATACTACATTTCCATTTATTCAGCCAAAGATCAAAATTCACTTTTGTTGGAAACCACTTAGCACACACTTAGTCACACTCTTAGCTCATATTGACTTGTGGACAGATGCCCAGATTATTGTTGTTTCGTGTAAGTCATTATTCAAGCTGACCTACAAAAAAAGAAAAGGATTTAGATAAATTTATGTATGATAGGTTCACAACTGATAATTGAAAAAAGCTAATATGGTTGGGGGATAAGCATATCCCTAACCATTTAAGGGTTAACAATGAACTTTGCCCTCTGAGAAAACATTTCTTGGTATCCCTGTCATTAAAAAAAATGATATTCCCCTGGTTATACCATGGGTCTGACCTGGGTTGGGGAAGTTGGGGGGGATATTTCTTACATTATGTGTTGGGTGGTTGGTACATTTAGAGGAGAGGGAGAGTATAAAATTGTTCCTGGATGTCACTGAATCTGCTCATGTCTATTCATGTGTGATGGAGGGCTGCTGGGAAAGTTGCTATTCAAAGGAATAGACTGTTAATAGTAACTTGGTCATCAAGACTTTGGGCCATTTTTACTCATAGTCTAATGGAAATAGCCCTGGGTAGGAGAAAGTGTTTTAATCCTGGATTAAAACTGCTGTATGATACTGTACAATTCACCTACCTTCTCTGGGCCTCAGTTTTTCCAACTGTAAAATGGGAATCATCTTCTTGCTAACTTCCATCATTCTTCTTGCTGACTTGCTAACTTTCACTAGAGAAAAGAAATTAATAATAAATGTATAAAGACTTCAGAAGTTTATAAACTCAAACCATCATTATTACATTTTATAGGCATCTAGGTTGTGTAGTTGGCAGGTAGGCGGCATAGTGGATAAAGCACTAGACTTAGAGTTAAGAAGACCTGAGTTTGAATCCAGCCACAGACACTTACTGATGTGTGAACCTAGACAATTCACTTAACTTCTCTCAGCCTCAGTTTCCTCATTTGTAAAATGAAAGTGATAATAGCACAGGGTTGTTGTAAGGATTACATGAGTTAACATATGTACTACCTGCAAGCATTGTTTAAGTGCAATGTTAAAATGTTATGAGCAGAATAATTCGATACAATACAATAAGATTCATTGTATAAAAAAAGGAATCAAGGTGCTCTGATGTTTTTAGGAGCTTCATATATTATAAATATGAGTTACCCTGCAGACTCCACCTTGAACTCCAGTGATATGTTGCTTTTCTCATCTATCATAATGCTTTAATTAGGGCATGTGCCAACATAAACACTGAATAGATATCAGCTAATGGTAATTTCTAAGAATGAGACATCTTGTTTTGTAAGCATTGCCTTGGGGCTAGGGCAAACCTATTTTTAATGACATTGTGTTGATGGACAGTAGCAAATACCATCTTATGTGTGTTTGAGGAGGTAAGTGGATTATTAAGAAAAAATAACTACTTCCTATTGAGTATTAGAAAATCTTGTTCTAGTTTTTACTTGGTTAATTTATACAATCTCTATGATTTTGAGGTACAAAACTACTTACAGGATAAATCAATGGAATGATGCATTATCCAGGCACACTGTACTCTCATGTGCACATGCATAAGTGTTCACATGCACACACCTGCAAGAAGCTCCTGGTTATTTCACTTGCTGTCAATTAGAATTCTCTATTAACCATAATTTTTCTACACTGTTGTTACCTAAATCTATTTTGATGACCTAGAGGAAATACATGGTTCTGAAGTGGCTTCTGAATCTTCAAAGAAAGATCAAATTATATTCAATGACATTTCAGGGTTAAGTGTTTGTTTCTTATTTTATTCAAATTATTTGAAAATGGATCATCCATATACACACATTAATTATCAAATAGATAGGAGGATAAGTAGGCAGATAGGTAAATCATTAGACTGAACATTTATCAAGCATTTATTGTGGTTCCAGGAGAGGCTGCTAGATTGCTCAGTAGATAAAGCCTGGAGTCAGTAGATAGACCTGGAGTCAAAAAGACCTGAATTCAAATCCAGCCTTAGACACTTACTAGCTGTATGACCCTGAGCAAGTCACCTAACCTCTGTTTGCCTTAATCCACTGGAGAAGGAAATGGCAAACTTCTCCAGTATATTTGTCAAGAAAACCCCATGAACAGTATTGGCATGATATTGTCCATAGAGGGATCACAAAGAGTTGGACACAACTGAATGACTAAACAACAATATGGTGCCAGGAACTGTTCTCAGCACTAGGAGTACAAATACAACAGAAAGACAGTTCCTGCCCTCGAGGAGCTTACATTGTAATAGAGAAAGACAAAGAATAAAGGGAAGTTGAAAAGTGTTGGGTTAGTTGGTAGGGCAAGATGGAGAAGTTGTTCAGAGTGTCACAGGTTGGGCTAGGTTTGAAGTGACCATGGTAGCTGCTATGGGCACTTTCTTAAATGGAGGTTCTGAGGACAAATTCATCAACTGAAAGAACCCACAGAGGTGGAAGCATTGGCAGCATAAGAAAGATGCCAAGGTGGTGATTGAGAAGTAGTCCAGAGAGTCATGGGCAGAGTTGGGTCTAAAATGAGCATGACTAGCATGGGTATTTCCTAAAATGGAGGTTCCACCGATTTTCTGGCCAACAGAAATTATTCTCTAAACACGCACTCACCTTCTTCAGATACCATGTGAACCTTACAAAATGAGACATTAGGAAGATTTAATATTTCATGACAGACCAGATAGTCTCATTTTTTGGTGTTTTAATATTCAAACTAAAATATTTTGTCAATACAAAAAACAAACAAAAGTATACTAGAGGTGTTCCTTCATTTTAATTCTCCAGTCTTGATCTCAGCTCAAAAAAAAAATCCTGAACTTATTCCATCATTTTTGGCCTTTATCCATACCATATTCTGTATTTGGAACATCCTCTAATCCTCTACCACACATGCACACAACTGCAAACTTTACTTGTTGACATATTTTCTCTCCTTTAAGGCTTATCTCAGGGTCTGTCTCCACCATGAAGACTTCCCTGATCTCTCCAGTGGCAAGTGATCCTTCCCTTTTAGAGAGGTCACTTGTTGTGATAGAAAGAGCACAGGATTTATTTATAGTCAGAAAATTTGAGTTCAAATCCTAGACCTGCCATTTATTATATGACTGTGGATAAATCACCTAACTTTTTTGGGCCTTGTTTTCTTATCTGCAAAACAAAGAGTTGGGTAAAATGATTTGTAAAATTCCTTCCAGCTCTAAATTCTATGATCACATCACTTGGACCTCTCTGGAGTACTTAATCATTTTTTAATGTGTATTTGTGAATAAGTCCTATTGGATCACAAGCTCTTTGAGGGCAAGATTATATTATTTTTTATCTTTTTATTTATGGTTCCCAGCAAATTGCCTTGCATATAGGAGATCCTTAATGAATGATGAATTATTGAGTTCAGTCATTCATCCTAGCCTGAACTATAGAACCTATTGCTTACAGAACTTCAAGAGGAATACTTAATTTATTAAGCAAAAATACATTTTCCCAAGTTTTAAAACTGCTTATCAAACTCTATATCTATATGAACACTTAATCAATAATCATATGAGATATTTAGTCATGAAAGCAGGCCAGAGGGGCTTCTGGTATACCAACATTATGTTAGCCATCAGTTCATGTTACTACATAGTTAACAGTAATGCTACATATGCTGGATGGGATGTTTTGTTGTTATTGTTATTGTTCAGTCATTTCAGTTCAACTCTTCATGATCCTATTTGGAGTTTTCTTAGCAAAGATAATGGGGTGGTTTGCCGTTTCCTTCTCCAGCTCATTTTGTAGATGAAGGACTAAGACAAACAGGGTTAAGAGCCTTGCCCAGAGTTACCCCGCTAGTAAGTGTCTGAGGCCAGATGTGAACCCAGGAAGATGAGTCTTCCTAACTCCAGGCCTGGCACTCTATCCGTTGCACCACTTAGCTGCTCCATATGTAATATACAATGTTATTTACACATTAAGTTATATACACAGTGTGTATAAATAATACTGTAATTGATACTTTTTTACTCATTTAAGCTGTCACTCCTTCCCAAGAGCCAACCTCACCAATTATTCCATATTCATGAAGTTCTGTTGTTCAGTAATAGGGCAGTGGGTAGACATGACAATAAGATGCTTGAGTTCAGTAACTGTCACGAAACAGTTACTGACAATAAAACACATTTGGATGGATAGCAGAGCAGACACTCTTTTACTTATGATCAGAGTCCAACATGACAAGCTTTTAAAGGATTCTGTCATTTGATTTTGTCCAGCCTTTTTTGCTG